TAACAAACCTGGGGGGCCTGTTGTTCTCATTTTGCTGACAGAGAGGCTTAGTGAGAGGTTAAGTAACTTGCCAACTTTATACAACCGTGAAGTGGTAGAATTGGAATTCAAATTCAGGTATGTGACTTGAGAACTGATGCTATTAGCCACTACATTCTGTGGCATCTATAGAGTATTTATGACGGTGCTTTTTCTTAACATTTCATTTTGAAATAGTTTCAAACTTAGGGAATAGTTGTAAGAATACAACCAAGAAATCCATATACCTTCACCCAGATTACCCAATTATTAACGTTTTACCACCTCTGCCTTATCATCCCCCCAAATATGCATACACCCAAATATTTTTTTCTGAATGGTTAAGAGTAAGTTCCAGACATGTTACTCTATACCTCCTATTTAAATATCTCAGTGTGTATTTCTTAAAAACAAGGACATTCTCCTAAATAATCACAGACATCCATCAAAATCAGGAAATTAGCCTTAATACAATATTATCATTTAATAGATACTCCATTGATTGTCTCAATAATGTTCTTTTTGGCAAAAGACAAAAGCAGAAACTTCCCTCACCCCTTTTTCTTTCTGGTTCAGGATTACTTGTGTGACTTAATAGTTGTGTCTCTTTAAACTCATTTGATGTGGAACAGGTCCTCAGTTTTTCCTTGTCTCATTTTGGGTTTGTTTGATTTCCCCCCATGAATAGATTCAGGTTTTGCATTTTGTGGAGGAATACCACAGAAATAATGCTGTATTCTCCTCAGTGCATCACACCTGGAAGCCTGTGATATTTTGTTCTGTTGCTGGGTGGTGTTGACTTTTATTACTTGGTTAAGATGGTCTCTGCAATGTTTCTCCATTGTAAAGTGAAGTTTTTATTTTTGTTAATTAGTAATAACTATTTTGGGAAGAGATATATTGATACTCTGTACATATACTGTTCCTCATCAAATTTTCATCTACTAGTTTTAGATCCATTGAGGATTCTTGCCTGAATCAATTATTATTGCCATGGTTACCAAGTGGTGATTTTTCTAGTTCCATCATTTCTATAAGGTAGAACTTTTCCTTCTGCTCCATTTATTTGCTTATGTTAGGATGAACTCACAGATTCTAGTTTAATTGTGGGTTATAATGCATTAATACCATTATCCCAGATTTAGTCAGAGGAACTCCCTTCCATCTGACTTCCATGTCCTTTTGATATGGCCACATTGTTCTTTGGACAGTTCCTTACTTTATGTCATAAGATGTTCCAGATTCATCTTGTACTTTCCCTACTCCACTCCTAGGATCAGCAATTTCTCTAAGAAGCACTGGTTCCTTGTTGTGGAAAATGATATTTAGAAATCAAGATAGGGTCACCATATGTACTCATTGCTATTGGAATGACGTGGACTCTGGCCCTTCTTTATGGACAGGACTAGGAAATACATAGGTGTATAGAGGTATATTAATTCATGTATATGTAGTGACTATATATAAAATATATACATATTTCACACATACTGTTATATTGACATCACTGTATATTTTTATACCTATAATTATATAAAACCATAAAGTGTACACTGATACCTCTATTCTAGACCAATACTGTGAGATTTATTCTACCCTTCTTCTTTTCCATATTTGCACCTTGCTTCTCCAGCTGTGAGGAATCTGACTCCAGTTATCCTTGGTATATTTACTTATTTGCTCTTATCCCTCTATATAGCCAATTTCCTGGCCCGTGAACCTTCTTCTTGACCTTGGTTCTACCATACATTGTGGCCACATGGGCTAACTTGCCCTCAATCCTCACAACTACATTTTTAAGTAATATTTAATTACATTTTATTTCTTTTTTTCCTTTATTGTCCAGGTCTTCCAAGATTTATCAGCCAACCAGAACCTTCCACAGTTTATGCTGGGAGCAGTGCAATTCTGAATTGTGAAGTTAATGCAGATTTGGTCCCCTTTGTGAGGTGGGAACAGAACGGACAGCCCCTTCTTCTGGATGATAGAGTTATCAAACTCCCGAGTGGAACACTGGTTATCAGCAACGTGACTGAAGGAGATGGGGGACTTTATCGCTGCATAGTTGAAAGTGGTGGGCCACCAAAGTATAGTGATGAAGCTGAATTGAAGGTTCTTCCAGGTATTAATTCAATATCAAGATTAATGGTTTTACTAATGGGTAAAATTATTCTGTTAGAATATTTTTAATGCACATTGTTAATGTGTGATATAACATATTACTGTCAGCATAGTCTCAGTTTCTTACAGGAGTAAAAAGAAGAAAATATGCCAGAGAGATCCACTCTTTCGTGAATACATTTTTAGAAATTTTTGAAGCAATAAAGTATGTTCAGTATCTAGTGGCATTCTTCTTAGTTGAAGCTCTGTGTCTTTTGTCAAGCCTTCTCCCCACTTAGGATACTTTTATAGTTAGGTCTTTTTATAATACTTGTACAATCAGTGACTCACTCAGGCTAGTTCATGTGGGTGGGTAGGGTGGTGACTTTTAATATGGCAGCTCTAGAACTGGCCAACAAGAGTTCTTGGATCTTTATGGTGTGCCCCATTTTAACATAAACTCAGCTTCTATTTCAGTCTTTCCTTCTTTTTGTATGTCTTCTCATGCTTTCTGCCCTTACTGGTTTTCCTCATAATCAGTTTTGTAAATCTGTTCTCACTGTGTAACTTCTTACTCCGGACTTCCTCTCACGTGTAGCTCATCACAGCCCCCCTAGCCTCTTGATGTTTCCTGACTTTTCACCTTTTATTCCCACTGCTAGGTGCCTGGTTCTTTCCATAGTTCCCGTTTCATGTTGGAGTTTACAAATGTAATTGGACCATCCCTCCATTGTTTGGGCAAAGTTTTTATATATGACTACTTCATGGGCTTGTTTTAACCTATGGACTGGCTTGCAGAGTAAGACCAGTGTTATGAGCTGCAACTCCTGAGGGTGTTCTTGATGGGCATTGAACTGATTTTTTTTTAAATGGCAGCTTCTGTCTTTTGTTGTCATCATTGCTGCCCTTGTCATTCCTGTCCCAGTGTATTCTTAACAACCACATTATCTTTTAAAATGTGTGTTAGATCTTGTTACACCTTTGCTCAAACCCCCTAATGAATGGCCTGTAAGGCTTTATGTAATTTTTTCGTTTTTTTAATAAAGAGACAGGGTTTTGCTCTGTTACTCAGGCTGGAGTGCAGTGGCATGATCTTAGCTCATTGCAGCCTCCAACTCCTGGGCTCAAGCGATCCTCCTGCCTCAGCCTCTCAAGTAGTTGGCATTACAGGGTATGTGCCACCAATGCCCAGCTAATTTTTTATATTTTGTAGAGAGGAGGTCTCGCTATGTTGCCCAGGGCTGCTCTTGAACTTCTGGCCTCAAGCAGTCTTCCTGCCTTGGCCTCCCAAAGTGCTAGGATTATAGGCATGAGCTACCACACCTAGCCTACTTTATATAATCTTAATACCACTTCCCTTCCTTACTTCCCCTCTCCCGTTTCAGACTCTTCTCTCTCTTCCTCTGTGATTGTGACCACATTGTTCTTCTAGAACACACCTTAAACCTGCTCGCTCTTTACTGCCTTTCTACTTGCCATTTTCTCTGCCTAGACTCCTCTTCTCTCAGATGTCTGCCTGGCTTACTCTCTCTGCACAAACATCACTTTATCAGTGAAGCCTTCCTTGAGCACTCTGTTTAAAACAACAGTCTTTCATTTCCACCCCAGTGTTTTCTCCATCTGCCTCCATTGTACTTCAGAACATAGCCCCACCTGACATACCTTATTTGTTGTCTCTCTCACTGGTATGTAAGCTCAACAAGAGCAGGGAATTTTGTCTGCTGCCAAGAATGGTTCCTGGCACATAGAAGCCAATAAATATTTGTTATTTATTTAATTGATTCTATCAAAATTTGATTACATATACCTAAGTAATTGAAGGGGAATTTTAAATAGAACTCTTGGTTAATGGGTGCAAAAATATCATTAGTTGGTTAGATAGAATGAGCAGTATTTGATAGCCAACAAAGTGACTGCAGTCAACAAAAAGCTGTGGTAGTCTTTAAAATAACTAAAAGAGTAGAACTGGGATGTTCCTAACACAAAGAAATGATAAATGCTTGAGATGATGGATACCCCAGTTACCCAGATTTGATTATTAGACATTATATGCCTGTTTTAAAATGCCACAAGTACCACATAAATACATGTAACTATTATGTACCCATAATAATTAAAAATTTTTTAAAAAATTAAGTGTTATAAAATATTCACTGGTTTTTTTAAGACTTGGTATGAAAAATAGAATGTAGAATATCTCAATAATTTTGTTGGTTACAAAATGAAATGATAATATTTTGGATATAATGAGTTAAAATATATCAAAAAATTTTTAAGAACTATTGCCACATACCAATGTCTTTTAGCCTTCTTTCTTACTTGCTTTTATGTGACAGAGATAGCATTTTTTCTTTACACCTGACGTGGCATTCAAGCAAATCTTTAAAAATCTCATGCAAGAAAACAAGTTTATAGTGTCAAAGGATGAGATCACTACTCAATATCTGAAACAAAAACATAATGCTAAGTGTTTTGCTTACTTAAAGGAGAGCTGTGCTTGTCAAACATAGACTCCTATGTAGAGTTCTTGAGATGACATTGTTTTGGGTTGTATTGGTTAAGAGGCGGAGGCGGGTTGATGTCCGTCATAGAAACATGTTTTGTGGTTGGTTACAGAGGTTGGAGCTGGTCATCATCAGCCATAGACGCAAGCGACTCCGCTGTGAATTGGCTGACTTCTAAAGCCTGATTGTGTCACTCATTGGTTGGCTTTCAAAGGCACATTCACTGGCATGAGTCATCACTAATCTATCAGGCAATGTTTGCTTGTTACCATGGCTGTTGAACTGTTGATAATTGGTTAGACAAATTGAAAGGTAGTTCTGGAAGTTGTTACCATGGCTAGAGAACATCTTTTCCAAAGATTGTAGGAACAGGCATCACATTTCTCTGCCTGAGAACTTTTTTCTCAAAACTCAATTTTAAGTTGGTATCACCCTGTTACGTAGAGAACTCTATCTTTTACCCACAGAGTGTGGCTTTTTCATATGTCCACAAGAGGACAACTCTATAAAGTGAACACAGATTAATTCTGATACCTAAATAAGAGATAGATAAGTACAGTGGCAGCTAGATGGTTGCTCTATTACAAAATCAAAGGATTGACAGACTAAGTGAGCAAATTTAAAGAGGTGAAACTCAGAAAGATTTTTGGAAATAATACACAGGTTCAGGAAAGGAAAGGAAACCTCTTAAATCCCTGTGAGTAGGGAGGATGCCAAGGGTCCTGAGCTAGCTTGGTTCTGCTGTTTGTACCTTTCATGTGGCATTTATGTCATCTTTTAAAGTGAAGGGGATTCACGTCAAATCTCCCTCAATTGACCAGTATGCACCCTGAAGGCAGGAGCTATAACTTGTATGTCTTTAAGACCCCTAAAGAGCCTTGTATAATACTTTGTACAGAAGTATTTGCCTAGAATTTATTTAACAAGTATTTGCTAATTTAAATGGACATTTTTTGTGTCACTTTTGCTTAAAATATTTTGTCATACAAAGCCACACAGACTGAATAGAAATTAGTCATTCTTCATGATTAAAATGGGAAAGTGCTTTGCCTTTTATTTAATCTTTGTCTTTCATTTAAACATTTTTTTTTTTTTTAGATCCCGAGGTAACTTCAAACTTGGTATTTTTGAAACAACCTTCTTCCTCAGTGAGAGTCATTGGTCAGAGTGCAGTGTTGCCGTGCGTTGCCTCAGGACTTCCTGCTCCAGCCATTAGATGGATGAAGAATGAGGAGGCCCTTGACATAGAAAGGTAAATGCCGTCTGCCTGAAAGCCCTTCTCAGCCTTAGCTTGAGACTTGGTCTAATCCTATTTGGGACTATTGATTAATAAAAAATGATTATCTACTTTAAACACATCATAATGCTCATATATCATCCTTGAAATATGTTTATAAATGCTTCATATGATTAGGATGTTTAAAGAGAAAAGTGCTTTCAAAATATTAAGTGATAATTACTCCATTTGTTCTTTCTGACGCTGCACTATGCTTAGCTTAACATACTTTGGGGTCTTCTTCCCTAAATTGTTGGAAGAGCTTCCAGTCCTGAGTAGCCTGAGTTTTCTCACTCATTCTCACTCTCATATGCGTTTTATTGATGGTAGTTTTTTTCTTTTCTCAAACAGTTTAAGAAACTGTATTCCTCATCCTTTTGTTTTTGTCTTTTAAAATCATCTCAGCCTTCTGCTGTGATCACAAATTCTTCATTTTCCACAGACACCAACTGCCCTATCATCTCTCCCATCTCCCCTCATTACTTCCTTATGTTATTGGTGCTTTTCTCAGTTGTATTCTCAGAAGAGAACTGGGGTGGTGGTAGTTAGGTGTACTTTGGTTTCTAAAACAAAGCTGTCTTGTGCATGATATTAATAGAATGTTTACTAGCATCCCTGGCCTCTACCCAATAGATGCCAACAGCACTTCCAAGTTGTAACAACCAAAAGTGTCTCTAGATACTACATGCTGACTACGGGCACTGTTCTAGGTACTGAGAATAGAGTAGTGAACCAAATAGAGTTCTTGCTCTTATAGAACATATATTCTAGTGGAAAAGAGTCAAGATAATAATCAGGTAAACATATAAAATGTCAGGTTATGATAAGTGCTCTGAAGAAACTTAAGAAGAGTAGGCCAGGGTTGCCAGGAGAGGTAGATGTGGCATTGCTGTTTTATACAGTGTTAGAGAGTTGTTCTCTTAGTCGAGTGATGGTCAGGATGGGCCAGACTATATAAATCATGGTAGGATCTTCTGGAATGTCCAGTTTTATTCAAAGATACCTTTGAAAGCAAATGTTTTTTTAATTAAATTAAATGTGGATTATATCATGGTTAATAATATTCCTCTGAATTTTAAAGATCAATCAGTAGACTTTGAAGATTGAGTAGATTTTTTTCTGCCTCTAGCTCTCTATCTAGGCTCCTGAATAGTCAGATTATGTGGTGGGAAAATCTGAGGAGCACTGCCTTGGTATGTCACTTCCTCAAGAAGCTTCAAAAGAATCCAAGAGCAGGACAGTGTTGGTGTCATTCATAGTGGTCTTTCTAGAGCCTTGCACAGTATTTGCAAATAACTGGGTAGGGGAGTGGTAACCAGTATATTTTGGTTGAATAAATAACTGAATGTAATGTAGGAAAATATAAGTAGGTGAATGGAGCATAGGAGTGCTTCAGGTTGGATGTCTATGATTAAAATATCTTTGTTTCTGCCAGAGCCTTATGAAATACATAGGTGGACCATAGTTGATAAATTGTTTAGACCCCAAATTAGAGATTTAGAAATTGAAAGAAAAAAGTGGATAGAATTCCAGATAATGTGTGGCTGGCTCTAATGAAAAAAGATCTTAAATAATTAGATACCGTTCTCTATTACTAATCTTAAGACTTCTTTGAAAATATTTGAAAACATTGCCATGGCTTTTATAAATGTCTAAGAATCGATGTGTTTATTTAATCTTTTAATTAAATTTGTTCAGATCCAAAATAAGCATAGCTAATGAAAGAGGGAGGTGGAAATGGATCCCGTTCATGGAGCAGTTCTGCTTTAAAGGGAGAGAATCCAGAAAATGCAAATGCTAACGTTCAAGGTGACTGACAGCAAAGTATAATTTAGAAATCAGACCGGGCACAGTGGCTCACGCCTGTAATCCTAGCCCTCTGGGAAGCTGAGGCGGGAAGATTGCTTGAGCTCGGAAGTTCGAGACCAGCCTGAGCAAGAGCGAGACCCCGTCTCTACTATAAATAGAAAGAAATTAGAAATCAAATAATGTTATCTTTTAGTGGAATGATAGCTCCAAACCCAGCTGCAAAGAAACAGATTATAGTTAAAAAATGCTTGATATTATTACAACTGACAGTAGTAGAAAAACTAGGTTACTTAAGAAAACAGAGGGACTTCTACTTTGGAAAGATGGAGTAGACATATTTTTCCCTATTCCTTTCACTAAATACAACTAAAAAGCCTGGATGTTATATATAAAACAAACATAAGACTCTGAAAGGTGGAGAGAGATGGAAGATTGATTGGCTAGGGACCTTGGGATCCAAGGAACAACATGATGGTTAGTTTTCTGGGTTCTGTTTTTGCTTCGTATATCCCACAGTTTGAGATGAAGTAGCAACCTGGAAACACCAACGGACACATCTAAAAAAAGCCCCAACAAAAGTATGCTCTCTGTAGCCAAAGGACCATGAAAGGGACAGATAAGCAAGACAAAAACTGTTAGACTACAATTACTCTACTCCATTCAAACACCACAGAAAAAACTGTGGCCCCACCACTACCATGCCAGTCAAAGACCAAGTGGGGCTCCTATACTTCCACCCTTGCCAGGTTGTAATGACGTGCCCTGGTGTCTCTGCTAAATGGTCTCAGAGGCTGAATCAGGAGCCAAGACTTTCATGAGTTGGGCCAGTATTCATCAACATCCTTGTTGATCATGGCATGGTAGAGGTTGATTTGTGCCCAACTACCACACCTAGGGAGATGCTTTTTGGCAACCGTTGTTCTCTCTCCCTTCCCTTCTTCTTTTCCTCCCTTTCCTAGCCAAGCCACCACAGGAAACTTTCAGTAGGTACTGTGACCCCATGACTTTTGATTTGACATTTTAACCCTCTTTATGTTTTCCTTCTATATTAGTAATCTCAGTGTGGCATAGATGTGGTGGAGTGATTCTCTGATTGATTCCAGACTTCAAAATTACATAA